TGTTGGTTTATTGTTGAATGACGTATATTTTTTAGTTTGGGATATAGATGCATCAGTGGTGAATGTACGTAGTGCTTAAGTTATTACAGGTGATTGTTGAATGGGCTGATTTCTTACTGCTTGCATTGTGCATGTGTGTTTGAATGGGCTGATTGCTTAGTGCTTGCATTTTCAATCATGTATGTTTAAACTATTACAGGTTATTATTGAACGACTTATATTTTTTAATTGTGAATGACGTATATTGTTTAGGTTGGGATATGGATGCATCAGTGGTGAATATGAGTAGTGCTCAAGTTATTACAGAAAAATAATATTGTACTTTACTTTCAATTGATATAGTATTCCAAAAAATTATATTCTACAAATTAATAACAAATAAATAATATCTATGTCTTAACTTGAACATTTACATCTTGCCTATTACTTAAGCTAATCCAATACAAATACCCAGTTATTCTTTAACTTCTCGGGAGGTTACCAAACACAGAAACCAGGAACTTCTTAACTTCCCAAGAGGTTATCAAACACAGAAACCAGGTACTTCTTAACTTCCCAGGGATGTTATCAAACACAAAAACTAGGAACTACTAATTTATAATTCTTCAGTAACTTCCAATTTCCAGTTCATGTTCTTGATTCCAGCTATCAAACAGGCCCTACGGGTCCATAATATAATAATACTATATGTATCCACACTCCTCAAAACGCAAAAATAGTCTCAAAGAAATCAAGGAGAGATTGGATATCAATTGTGAGAACTCACATGCTAAATGAGATTTGGTACAAAGGATAATATCACAAAAGGATGTGCTTGTCAAATTTTCTTATATGCTTATCGAGCAAAAGGATAATGAACTTCAATATGTTTTGTGCGTTCATAAAATTCAGGTCTGAAAAATATAAATGACACTATTTTTTTGCAATACATTGGCATGTGAGTGGTAGTGTCCATACCGACGTATGTTAGCAACTATTGAAGCTACACAACTACAATGGCAGCTGGAGCTATAAGGCAGTTGTTGATGCCACTAAGCGTGGTCACTTGGAAAATTTAGGATGATCTGGGACCCTGTCTAGGGGTGGCAATGGGTCGTGCCAAGTCCGGGCCAAACCCGACCTGTTGACACTTGAGAAATATTAAGCAATATTAGGCAGTACCAAGATAGACTAAAATATATAAGTTGTTGATGTAAAAAAACATTGGTAACATGCCAAAAATAAAATAAAATAATAGAGATATATTGTTCTAGTTGCACTCGTGACTATAGTTTTTCATTCCGTTCACGGTCTTTTGATGTTGACAACTATAGTTATGTGCTTTCTCCAAGTTATCCTTGGATGAGAGGTCACTAGAGATTCCGCAGTAGAAGCACATAGAAGTAGGGGTGGCAATGGACCTAGACCTAACTCAAGACCCGACTTGGTCCAGGTCCAGATACCCAACTCGACTAGTGTTATATAGATAATATTTAATATATAATATTTTTATAAGGAAGATACTACAAAACGCTTACAGGCGAAAATGAACAGTGATTTTGCCTACCCTCATCACCGTCCAAAGTTTATCACACGATTTCGATTGTCCAGTAGTGTTTCTACATCTTAGTGATCATAATTAATCTTGATCATTAGATATGAAATTATGTGTCTATATTTATTTTGTCGACGAAGCACAAAGTTCAAAAGAAATGGTCTCGAACTTTGTGACACATTTAAACTATCAAATTTCACATCGGATGGTTGTAAGTAATCATGACATCTCTATACCAAAAGTAAATGGTCTCATTGTATATAATCTCATTCAAAAAATAATATTATATCTTTTGAAACAAATAATATAAATTTAGATCATGGTCATTGTTGAGATCATAGGACTCTAAAATTTTGGATAATTTTAGATCATGGTCATTGTTGAGATTATAGGACTCTAAAATTTTGGATAAAAATACATCTTTGAGATATAGTTTGTAGGGAAACTGCACAGAATAGTGTGAGTCGGCTGAATCACCAAACATTTTTTCCATAGTTTTGGTTCGAGGGAGTAGATATACCGAAATAATGATCTTGTGGGATCATGAGATGTTTTAGCCCACCGATTCTCTTTTCTTCTGCCTAATCTCCATCTCTCTCTAACCCCGCTGATTCTCTCTCTTCATGCTAACCTCTTTAGCTTTCTCTTTCTCTTTCTCTCACTCTATCACTCCTCTCTCTCTCTCTCTCACTCTATCCTCTCTCTCTCTCTCTCTCTCTCTCTACCTCTCTCTCTCTCTCTCTCTCTCTCTCTCTCTCTAACCCAAAGCTTTCCTCCTTTGCAAAGGTGATCACATGGGCAACCTATGAAGTTGTGATCTCTTCCCACAAGCCCCCCATTTCTCCCTTTTCATTCCCTAGACCCAGTTTTCAGGAATGATCTGTGTATTTTCTCTTTCAATTTTATCCATATTTGTCCGAATGTGCAATGTATCAAATATTACACATCTAAAATCTGATAATTTTAGCATAGGCATCGGTATATTTACTGAAATTTTCAGATATCAGATTGTACGCATTATCACAGATATCAGATATTTCTGATATTTGTTAAATTTTTTTTTTTTTTTGTGCATATCGGATTTATCTTATTTTTACATGTATTTATCTGATATTTACAATTTTACATATATTTATGGATATCATATTTATAATTTATTTCTATACATTTGTTTGATAAATATTAGTAAATGTATTTTCAAACAAAAAAATCAGTAAATGTAATGATAAATGTGCTGTTAAATTGATTGAAATTTACCCGGATTTATCAGTAATTTGACTGAAATATTGTCAGATATGAATAAATATTAGTAATCTACTTATAAATTTTCTAGCACTGAAAATGTGTGATATATATTGGAAAAAGTGTGTTATATTGACTGTGAATTCAGTTTAAAAAAATAATTCATGATATATTTTTTTCATAAGCTATGACCAGAGGTCTAGGTTTAGATGATAAATGTTTGATGTACATTCTACTATGATCAAAACCTGATGCAGATACATTCAGAGGTTTCTGTACTGATATGGCCCTCTCATTTTTCTGGACTGGATGTGGTTACCATCCAGTTAAATGGCTGCTAATCAAAGGAGGGCAGGCTACTGGTTATTGAAAAATCGGCCAAGCCGACTCGGACTCGTCCGAGTTACTCAGCCTTGGCACCCCTCCGAGCAGAGTATATAGGACATAATTGGAGGTCGGGATATCAGTACAATGCCCATGCGAGTCGCTCTAGTACTTGCCTGAGTACTCCAAGTGGTCCATATTATACTGCATTGACTTCCATCAATATGGCTTCTTTCCATGTTGGATAGGTAGATTTCATGCGAACTATGTTCTTGCCTGTTCTTGTTGTCAGTGGATTCATATGGCATGTGGACTTCCACATCTCAAATTCTTTGACCCCCACCTATTTGTTCGAAATTTTTCAGCTTCTTCTCCCTCTTTCATCCATGTCTGAACTTCTTCTACTTCACTCTCACTCAATTATTGGGCCTCCCATTCACGGATACCAAAACAACCCACAAAAGCACTAAAAAATTACTGAAGTTTGACGTTTCTCTTGAAAAGTTCAAATCTTTCTTGTGCTTTCCTCTCTCGCACAAAATCTTGGCCAAGGTCCTCGCCTCCAGATTGAAGGCAGTTCTGAACTGGGTTATATCTCCCCATCAAGGTGCTTTCGTCAAGCACCACCAGATCCTGGATGGAGCATTGGTGGCCCATGAATGCATCCACTCTAGAACTTGCTCCAAAGTCCCGGGACTCATAATCAAGCTCGACCGGGAAAAGGCCTACGACCATGTCGACTGGGCTGTCCTTGAAGAAACCCTCTCTCATAATGGGTTTTGGCAACCGTGGAGAAAATGGATCAGTGAGTGCATCTGCCACCCTTTCTGTTCGGTCCTAGTCAATAGCCCCCCTGGGGATTATTCTCCTCATCCAGGGTCTCGGCAGGGACTCACTCTTCCCCTTCCTCTTTGCCATAGTCGTGGAGGTATTCAGCAGATTAGTTGCTAGGATGTACCAGCACAAACTGCTCAAAGGAATAGCAGCACATGGAAAGTGATTTTCATGGGGAAATATATCTGAGGGTTAATGAAATCTTGGATGGCAACTAGAGAAGAATTGAAGAATCTGATGGGCCTTTTGAGTTATCAAATCTGTGGAGGTGGTAAGTTGTAAGGGGTTATCTTATTGCAGGAACAGATACCTTGAGTTATTTAGAACAGGCCATTGGCCGTTTGGCATAGTCTCGGAACAGGGTTGGGTATATAGAACTAGTCAAATTTGATGATTAATAGAACCAACCAGTTGGATGACCTAGTTTTACCAGTTCTGGGTTGACCATCTTGTTACACAATGTTTTTTTCAAAAGCCTGTTTTTGGTATTTTTGGCTGCTTGTTTCTATTGTTGGCTCATATTTCTGAAATCCTTTCTTTTCTTGATCCTAAATTTTGGTGAATTCTATTCTATTGTTCACTCATGATTTCCTAGGCCGGCAAAGAAATTAAATCCAACTCCTTGATTTTAGGGATACTAGGATACTTGCTAATCCTTTGAGATTTATTATCATTTGCGTTGGATTTCTTATTCTCTCTCTCTATCTCTCTCTCTTTGTGCCCGTGCCCTTGGGATTCCAGTTGCTTGCAAAAATTGCCTATCTGCGGCTTTTAGCTTATACTAAATTTCTCCCCAAAATTTCAATTTTTATTTGTTGATCATTTCCGTTATTCTAACATTTAATGAAGAATTTGGTATTTTTTAATCATTTTGTTTTCAGACCTGTTCAATAGGCATTCCGACCAGTTCCAACGAACTGGACTCTTCGCTGGTTTGTCATGCAGTGATAACACTGTTCCTATCTTCTTATAAAATGAGGACTGATTTTCCATGTCTTCTTTTGAAATATTTAAATCATGTGAATATGAATGCTTCATGTGAATGTTTTGGCCTTTATTGTCGCAGAGAGAACATCACTGCAAGGAGCATGAAGCTGCTATGGTGCATAGTGCCCGAAGCGTTTGAAACTATGACATGGACTTTAAATAACCAATGAATTGATATTGGTATAAAGATCTCTCTCACTGATGTTGACCCTCTTTTCATAAATGAAGCAGCAGAAATTGGGAATTTAATCTTAGTTTAAAAGTTCACCACTTTAATTACCAGTGTCTAATCACAGCCTCTTTCCCTCACTCTTCCCCCCACTACCAAATTCTCCTTCCATCTCTGTCATCCCTTCACTTTCAAACCAACTCCCCCTCTCTCTCCCCACCCACCTCCCCTCTCCCTCTCTCCCCACACAATGCCGCCCACTCCCCGTCTAGTCCTCCGCAATGTGTCGTGCATGCGAAATGCACAGGTTGTCCTCCGAGACATCAATTTCTCTCTCAACCCTGGCTCTGCCCTTGCTCTCACTGGCCCCAATGGCTCTGGCAAGACCACCCTCCTCCGCCTCCTCGCCGGCTTCTCCCGCCCCTCCGCAGGTGTTGCCCTATGGAACTCACTCTCTATAACTGATCCTGGTGTATTCTCTCTCTACAAGCTCCAGCTCAATTGGTTAAGCCTCAAGGATGCCATAAAAGACAAGTGGACTGTCCTCGACAATGTACAGATATTTGAGCTCTTAGAAGGGAAGGTGGGTAACTCTCAAAAGGCCTTGGAGTTTGTCGGACTTGGTCGACTGGTGCATGACAAGGCTCGGATGCTCTCTATGGGACAGAGGAAGAGAGTACAGATTGCAAGGCTCTTGGCCATTGATAGGCCCATATGGCTTCTTGACGAGCCATCTGTGGCATTGGATTCAGAGGGGGTGAAGATTTTGGAGTATGTAATTAAGGAGCATAGGAAGAATGGGGGAATTGTGGTCGTGGCCACGCATTTGCCCATAAAGATGGAGGATGCCATGGAGCTCAGGCTTCCTCAAAGGTTTCCAAGGAGGATGACTCTGGTTGATATGGTGCATTGAAATGGAGGTTTCATGGTTCTTTCCCTTGCTCTTGTTTGTTCTGTAAGTCTTTTGTTGATTTAGTTGATTCTCTCTCTCTCCCTCTCTCTTATATATAGACACACGCACACACACACACATATTACTGTTTTTCTGTGGAGGTTTCAGGGTCTTTTACTTGGATAACGTTTACTTTTTGTAAATTTAGTTTATCTGATCTGGTACATCAGTATGGAGGTCGAGTCTTTGTTTCTTGGTAAATTCTGGCAATCTTTTTTGTGGGTTTCGTTGATTGTGTTATTTATTTCTATTTCTTTCTTTATCCCTCTAGATTATTTTAAATGTTTTCCTTCTCCCGTTCTTTGAAATGGTGATTTTGGCTATAATGCATTTGATTTTTCTTTTCTCACTGTAAATCCAAAGTGGTTTGTCATTTCATTCAATACACTTGAGAATGTTTGTCATTTCAATCAATGTATTAGATTAGTTTTGCCCTCTCCCATTGCACCACCGCCCCCCCTCCTTCCAACCCATGTGTATGTAACTCCAACATGGTCTGTATAAAATTTATGCCTTTTGGTTTTGCTCTCTTCTCCCTTTTCTAAATTGTCTGGTATATTTTCTTTTCTTCTTTTTACCAATATTTAATGTTTTGGATATAAAGTATGCATAGCTTGACTGCGTACTAATTGCATAATACGGCCTCTCAGATTTCATAGTTTAACTACTATAGGTTTTTATTTTACCCTTTCAGGGCTTTTGGTTGTAGTATTTATAGCTTAGTGTGCAACAAAACCTTCTAGATGCTTTCTTTGTTTTTGTTTTTTGTTTTTTTTTTGAATTGGGATTTATATGCATTTGTTTTCCCTATTCAAATGTTTAGATACTGAACGAACTGTAGGGAGGTGCTCTCTCAAAGTTAGGTAGTACATATAACATACTTAAATTATGAGTGCACGCATCCATGCGTACATACATACATGCACATTTTATGGTACAGCACACATACACATACAAGCATATATATATATATATATATATATATATATGGAAATGGCTTCCCAACGACTATAGGCAAAAATGAATAGTGATTTCGCCTACTCTCTTCACCGTCCAAGTTTCATCACGCAGTCACAATTGTCCGGTAGTGTTTTATTTTATTTTATTTTATTTTCTAAAATCCGAATGACCTGAAATTTGGAGAGTATGTACATCTTATTGAGGCACATCTAATAAAAATATAAAAAAATTATCCGCGAAACCGAAAAATTTTGAGGGTATTTTGGTCAATTTTTTTCATGCAAACTATTTTTTTTATATTTTTCAAAGATACCCCTATTTTTGATGAATACACGCTCCTAATTTCAGGTCATTCTGATTTGTAGAGAAAAAATGAAAAATGAAACACTACCAGACAATCGTGACCGCGCGATGAACTTTAGACGGTGATGGGGGTAGACGAAATCACTGTTCATATTGTCCTATAGGCATTGCGTAGTATTTTCCTATATATATATATATATACATATATACATGCATGCATGCATGCAGGCATACATGCATACATACATACAAATATACAGACGAGCAAACAAGTTTGCCATGCTCTGGATGAGATACATGCATACATACTCAAGGTTGCCCCACTGGATGAGAGAGCCACATTACTTGATTCTAAATTGCGGTTTTCTTTTCATACTCCAAAAACAGGGGTGATAGCTATCATAAGTTGTTCCAAATCAATTCTTAGAAATATATGAAGGCCTATCTTCTCACCCCTATGCCTATGTATTGAGAAACGTATCCTTCTTGGACCTGTTCTGGTAATTTGGTTTTTTTTTAAGAAAGTTAAAGGTGCTCTGTACCATAAAGAGCCAATGAAGCATGATAACAGCTGTTCTAAATACTAACAAAGATGGGACATGCTCAATATCTTGTGGTTTTAAAAGTTTATCCCCTTCCTTTCACCCTATGATATCATTTTGTCAGTAAGAAACAGTGTACAAATAGGGATGCGTGGCAGATATAAGGTCCCATGGAGACTTCATACGCTTGCCGCCAATTGTCTCTACGAACTATCCTCCTCTAGCCATAAATGGACTATCTCACATGTCTACCTGGAATCGAACATGGTCACGGACTTTGTAGCTAATAAGGCAACCACCTTTTCAGGAGCCACCGTGTGGAGAGGCTGCCCACCAGATTTTTCAACTTTATCGATTTCTTATGATGTAGCTTGAATTCCCTATGCTAGGGTTGTAATTAATTATCTTTAATAATTAAAACGGGTAAGGGGCCGTAACGCCCACTGATTTACCCAAAAAAAATAACTGTGCACTAGTGTTTCTAATACTCACCATGTCAGACTAAGATTTGGGTGAGTCATGCTCAGATTTTGCAGGGTGCCAAGTCTGAGTGCAAAGCTTTGGGATCTGACTGAATCTCACTAGTTCTTAAATTTTTTAAGACTCGGCCGAGTCTCACTCGCCCCACGACTCGGGCTCCAGACCCTAGTGATTCCTGACCTGCACCCATGGTACACTGCTTGATACCCATGATTTTGCTTGTTTCCAAGGGCAAACTACAAGTTGATGGATAATCACTGCCATTATTGTATGTGATTGCCGTAGTAATCCTAGCACCATGGTTAGTAAAACTCATGGAGCTGCCTCACCTAATTAAGCTGGGGCAGAGTGTAGATAAGATAATGGGTTCCTTGACCAACATTGAGCTGTTCCTTTTTAGTTCCTATGGTTTGTAGGTGCGTTGCGCCTGTTGGTGATAACATGCATCTGACCTTTGACAAATTAAATGAAACACTTTCACTGCTTACAAAAAAGAAAGTGTTATTTCTATTGAAAACACTCTAAAAGTACACCTTGTGTCATGTAATTGTCAAAAAAAGGCACAACTCATACCAGTAGTTGTGAGTTCCTTGAAATGGATGATTAGTTGTTCCCTTAATCTTCAATCTTATGAGCAGTCCCTATACAGCCAGTCCATAAAAGAGGCCACGTCATTTAGTTTGTGTGTGCTACTATAGTCATGTAGTTATTATAACCTTTGTGTTCTATTCTATAGCCGCTGTGAACTTCAATATTTCATGCTTTCCTCGTTGAGACATTCTCTTAAGAGTTGTATATACAGCTTCCATAACCTGCGAAGAAAGAGAGGAAATCATAACCGATGAATCATCAAAAGAAATTTATGCTTACGAAAGACTGGGCTTCAGTCATACTTGGATCCACTGTGCTGATTGCTCCAGTTTGTTTAAAGTCACAGTCATAGGCATGACGCCCAGCTGATTGGTAGTAAGCATTCATGGCATAGGCTGCATGAGCTTGGATTGTGTTAGGAAGAAAGCAGGCACCACCTATCTGGATTGGCCGGCAATCTAAACCTTGGCCACATGCATAGTCTATGTTTTCTTGTAGAGCCCTTGGATCTGCATTTGCTTTGGGTAAACACCATTGCTTCATGTTGGTGGGCACTTGGTTAATTGGAGCAAGTGGGGTTGGGTTTATTGGGGCTGGCATCCTAGCCTGCAAAAAATACAGCACTCAGAGATTTAGAAACGAAGAACCAAATAGGATTATGATCTTTGTTGGAAAAGGTTACTATAATCTGGTTCACAATATGGTATAGATGTTTCTTATTGTGTATTCCTTGTTTGATTGTGCTATATTCAAAGGAAAGTTCGATCTTATCCAAATAATGTTGATAAAAACAGGAAATGGACCTAATGTACGATACCCTGTGTAGTATGCATTTTGTTGTCTGGAGAGAGAGAAAGAGTAGTCATGTACTTTTACCTCGGACCGCAGGATTCCAATGTCATAAGCAGGGACAAAATCTGGCCTGAAAAGCCCGAAATTCCTTTCAGCTGTTGGCCCAAGCTTAAGATTCTCATTGAAAAGAGAGAAGATGTAAGTCTCAAAAGTTTGGTTAGGCATGAGTGGGGTACCAATGCCTGAGTTTACATGCCTTATAAGGTTCCCATTATATGCAGCAGCATTAGCAACACTGACTCCAATTTGACCAGGGTCCCCAATTGAAGGCCAACCTGTTTCAGCAATGACTATCTCAACATCAGTGAAGCCTAAGCGCTTCATGGCCGAGTAAATGGCATCCAACTGGGCATCCAACATGTTGGTGTAGGTTAAATGTGTGTTAACATCGAACACCCCTTTGTTTGGCCTAAAAAGTGCGAAATCTAAGGTGTTTGGAGTGAACCCAAAATAAGGATATGGGTTTATCATGAAAGGAGCATTGGTGGCCCTCAAGAAGCTTAGCAATGGTTTGAGGACAAGGGTGGTATAGCCTCGCCTAAACCGACCAGCTGATGGTGGGGTGGATATGGATAGGATGCCCAGAGAATGGGGTGTTGAGACCTTAATTTGGTGGTCTAGTGATGCCCCAATAAGAACAGCATGGAGGTTTTGCATGGCCGGTATGAGGTTGGCGGCTAGCAAAATGTCATTTGTATGTAGGACTTCATTACCAACTAAAATGCGAATGATTTTGGTGGTGTAAACATATGGCAGGATGTTTATTTGTATCCATTGTCGAGCTATGGCGAGTCTTCTAAGGCTTGGTATTTGGTCGTTGGGGATCGCAACTGTTAGAGCTATGCCGGTGTTGGCGAAGGCTTGTATGATGGCGTGGTCGATGCCAAAGAGCTTCACATGGTTGATTAGGGTGTTTTCTTTGAGGAATTTTGCTACCTGGGTGGGTGGTGGGAGGTTGTTCGCAACAGTCCCATAGTTCACACCAATGTTGATGGCTTCTGTGTCTGCAAAAATAAGGTAGCCATAAAGTTACAGAACAAGTGCACTCATGTCACATGTGTGTGTGCCATAAGAGAGAGAGAGAGAGAGAGAGAGAGAGAGAGAGAGGGTTGAGTACTTTGAAAAACTTAACAATGTCTGCCTAGTATCATGGCCTTTAGTATGGATCCAAGGGGGAATGGTCATAGGTTTAGTTGTAATGTTGCCATGAGGAGGTGATGGCCTGAATGAATATCTTTGCATTGCAGATAATATTCAGGATTCAAATTCAATCAGCTTGGTGAGGTACTGTATAAAGATCTCATGGTATGTGTTTCCTGGGCTTGGTTCTCTGTCCTGGTTAATGTGTCATTTAATTGGTAGCTTAAAGAACCTAAGGCTTAGGGATTCCACTTTCCATTTTAAATCCGTTCTCTCATAATTTTGAGATCGGAAAGGGTGGTTTGATAAGGGTGGCTAAGTTGTTAAGAATCCAATGTGTGTGAAGGGTAGCATTGATGGGATCGAATTCCACTGAAGATCTAAAGACAAGATGAATTTGGGTATTAGAAAGCTCGGATAGGCAAATAAGGATTATTTAAATTTTTTTAAAAAAAGAAAGAAAACAGATATACGAATAGGATTTGTTGGAGAATATGCGTTGGAGAGATAGATCTGTTTTTAGTGAGTTTGGTTTGGTCTTTTAGGCTAATTATTTAGGGGATCTGGGACTCGGATGGGTATTTGTTAGTGTCCTCCAACAAGAAGTGAACAAGGGTATTCAGTCTAGGATTCGGTGTCGTCATGGTCTTGGGTCATTGAGTGATATCTAGAGCAAGGATAGGATGCTTTCTTCTTTGTTAAGCTCATGTTTACAGATTTGGATCATGAACAACACGGATTTATTTTCATTGAGTTCTTTTAACTTGATTTATGGGGACACCACTTCCTTGATATGTTTGCTATATATGCATTTCTCTGCTTTCCTGACTTTGTTGTTGTGTATACTGATGCAGAGTATTGTTATATTGAGAATGCTTTATAGGCATTTGTAAGAAAAGTTGACACAAAATGATTTGGAAAAGCATAAAATATAGCCATTTACGTTTGGTACAAGAAGGTTAAAATCATCCTTAGTTTCTAGAAGTGAAGGCACTTGGAGGTGTGCTATTTTTGAATTTTGCGACACACTGTGGCTGCCTGATCTCACATCTAACGTCTAGGAGTGATTGTGACCTTGTACAAAAGGTAGACGGTCTTAATCCCAAAAGGATCCCCAACCATTCCCACCTCTCACCATATTGACATGTTTTAAGGTTTAAACTACAATTCGTTGCACTCCATGACTTTTTTGCGTTCTTTTTCTTTGAACTCCTTGACATTTCTAACTACCAATGAATTTCATCACTTTTCAGAAAGTATTTGACATGTCATCAATGGTTCACAATCAATGGCCATCATCACAGTTTCATTCGAAGATTTTCCTCACAGACATGTCTCAAATGCAATGCATGTGGCCGAATTGTGAAACTTTGGAGACAAAAATACTGGATCAAGAATGAGTCCAACAATGAATGGAAGAGAGAGAGAGAGAGAGAAGAGAGCTGCGTACCCATGATGCAGTTGACGCTGAAAAGGAGAAGGAGACTTGATACCGTAGCAGTGGCAAAGCCATTTCTCGCCATTGTCATGGAGTTTAGTGGGTGTATGTTAAGAGTGGTGCAGTTTTATAGTGCTATCTATGAAAAGAAATACCTTGCTTCAAGGGGGGAGTTTTGTTTGTTTGGATGCTGATTTGGAGGGTTCTTTGTGGCAATTTTTTTTTTAATATTTCAATGCTATTTTATTGGGCCGTTTGCTTATCACCTTTGGCTGCCTTCTGGGCTTTATTGGTTTCTGCCATATTTGGCTGAGATTTAACACCCAGATGAACATTTTATTGGTTGTTTTCTAATTCTGACAACTAAATCGGCTGATAATATGATGAATGAACATGGTCACACACAACTGGTGTTTTTTCTCTGTATGTGTGCGTGTGTGTTTTGAGAGTGAAGGATTGGAGTTGTTTATGGAAAATACATGTTCGGTTTGGGAAGAGATCATAAAAGCTGTGGAACTGATACGGAGACAATCTACTTTCATTAAGTGATTTATTAGATAATTGAAAACATGGAATCTTGAGTTAGAAGAACTACGTATCCCCCAGTATTGAACCTCTTAAACATAGTAAAAGGCTAAGTGTCAAAAATAGCAAGAGGAGGGTAAAACACTCGCAAAGCTAGAGGGATTTTGTTCGTTGTATAAGAATATAGCAAAGCGAAGTGCGCAAACTTAGCATTCCATCTTATCCGGGCAAGATTAGGTTGGTGTTCAGTTATCTCTACAAATACTATATTATACTCGTTTTTTCGACAACTCCTTTTCTCATACTTCCTATGCGCACTCATTTATGGCCTGGCTGGACTGAAGGTCAGCCTCACCCCCGAGGGTTAGGATCTAAGGGCTGGTCGAGCTAGCTATTGCTTCCTCCCTCTACAGGTCTTGAAAACAAGCGAACAAAGGGGCCCTGAATTTGGGGCAAAAAAGAGACGTCCGTTATATTTTCGTGATCACTCACTCTGATAATCTTGTCAATAATTTTTTTCAGATCTCCTAATAATTTACTTGAGTTTTGATTATTTACTTAACCAATGTTCTGGCCAACTTTGAGCTGGAGTGAGGTGGAATTGGGATTTATTGCCCCACACGTGAAAAGCTTTAATGGTATTAAAATATGGGATTATATGCAAAGAGATTATATATCTTTTCTACAAGGAGGTCAGAACTATTTTTACCCATTAGATGTCAAATTGGATGGCTTTGAGTGAGTCATGAAGTCTGAGAATTTGTTTTTTGTAATTTTACGTATGTTCAATGACACTCTTATAACCACCCATTTCAAAATTTAAGGGACAGGATTGATTATGACCTTCGTGTACAAAAGGAAAATGGTCTCTTTGTAGATAATTCTTTTAACGTTAAAATATATTTTCATCTTTAATTATAACATTTAAAGCTTAAAAAATAATGTAGATCGAGTAAATCTATGAAAACTTCAAAATCTTAAAAATTGACAATCCAAAAATACATTACAATATGTTCTATTTTTAAAACTTAAAATCCATTTTTTTTCTCATGTCCATACATCTTGATGTCGAGCTTATCAATTTGACGATATTTGGGCATCAAAACAATCTCTTTTAGTAAAATTTTTGAGGTAGACTCTAATTTGATTGTTTAGAGCCTTGGCTCTATATAAACTTTTTCCATTGAAAAAATCTTAAGCGTCAAGGTTCATTTCCTGCCTTGTTACATGTCAAAAAAGAAGAAGAAGAAAACAGAGTAAAGTTCCCATTCCTGACCTATTTATAGGAATTATAGGAATGGATTAAGGTATATAAAAATAATAATTAAAAAAAGAAAAAAAAAGAAAAAAAAAAGGTCTCAATGGGAAACTATGGGACTACATTGGATATCAAAGTCAGCTATGGTTGTTAAAAATGTAGTTCTTATGATATTTGCTCTTTCTCAGCTTCTTCTTCTCTTTTCTTTCTCCTCTTCTTTCAATTTTTAATACTTGTAGTTAAATTTTGCCTTGTCCAATGGAATAAAGGAATAGTGGGTCCCTTTCTCTTTTTTGAGAAGACTTTTCGTACTTTCGAAAAGCATTGCTCTTTATTCTTGCTTGAGGAGAAGGAAATAAAGGGTGAACAAACATGGAGTGTAAGATATGAGAATAGTTTGATGCACAATGTTTCAATTACTTGTTAACTGTCAATGTGAAATCAGGGCAATAAAGTTGAAAAAATATTTATTGGACTTTGGGTTATGGTCCTAGTCCATCCCAGACTACCTCATTCATTTGATAGTAGTCTTGTTGAGAGTGTATACTTCCTTAGGTCCTACATGAGCATACTGTTGACTTATTCCCTTGGATAGAAAACCCACAAGGATTTTTCTGGTCTGTAATTTTGGAAATAACCTAAGAGTCACTGGGTGATTGTTTTCAAAAGAAAAAAAAATCGATTTTGAGTTCTCTAACACTTAGATCTCATTCTCTAGTAATTTGACAATTTATATTTAATCTTGAGATATTATTCTCTTCGAGCCTATAAAGAGTGTAACTTGAATTTTTTATGTATTTTTACTTGAGTTTGGCCTATGAATTGAAGATGTTCTTTCTACAAAATTTGGGGTCCTAAAGATGCTACTAGATTGGGTTTACTCGAAGGAGTAAATAAATAATATGCTCCGGCGGGAAGCAGGAAATCTTCTGGCCAATCTTATGGGATACCTTTTGCTGTACGTTACATAGTACAGCGTGTGCCATGGGAAATCAACTGATACCTTGAATGGGAGGCAGAGTTGTTATAGTCCTTTACGATAGGCATATGTACGGTCGATATCCACTGTCTGGAACATCGATAGGCATATGTACGGTTGATATCCGCTTTGCCCATGCTCTCGCGGTGTAGCACGGAATACACCAGCAGTGTATGCTGTGCTTTCCGTTTTGACGTTAGCAAAAAAATCCCAACCGTCCAAATATTCACACAATTGAGATCGTTGGGTTATAAGCGCATCAACCGTGATGTAAACTCATACAAAGCTCTCCATATGTTCGAACTCCAATGAGCTCCCTTTGTGTGGATCAAATTGTGACTACCAGTTATAAGCTATGTTACAAAGACGAGCGTATGTGTACCGGCGTGATTTGTGATTTGGATGCATGTGTTAATAATTTTAAATTGGAAATTAGTCTTTCAAACACTACACGTCTATATATCATTTATAAAAAAATAAATTAAATTTTTTAAGAGATATTGAACATTTCTAGCAAAATTTCAATTAAGAAGCTAATAATTACTGCCTATCTTAGACACATGCCCAAGTTTCACATATTATTATATGGGTTCAAAAAAACATTATCTCCTATATTTTAACTTTAAGGTCCCTTCATGGATGCATGCAAGTAATGTGATGCAATATATGAGCTCTCTTTGTATGGTTTAAAATAATAAAAATATATGAGAAAATCCCCAAAATACCTATTATTTAAAAAATCCCTCCTAAAAGTTTGCTTTGATGTTTATATTTCTTTTTTTTTCTCCAAATTGCCCTTGGTTTGGACCTTCAGGATCCCAAATTCTACTTAAGTGGTTATTGGGAAGGCTTTCTCTTACATATATTTAGACTTTGAAGGTCAAAAGTTGTTCTAAATATATACTTTGAAGATCTCGAGTTACCACTTTAACTTAACTTTTATAAGAATAAAGATATGAAAGAACCAAGTATTAGTTAGGACTAAACCTAAATCCATCATAGTTTGAGAATTCATGACAAGTCTAGTTTTGAAGGATCGAATAATATCCCTATACATAAAAAGCTAAAACTAAATATTTTGTTTTAATACATTAGTTCTTCATAAATATAGCAACTCGATGAAGATCTTATCCAAATATTAAATTTTACCTGCTGTATTGTCGCTATCTGGTTTTGATAAGGTCCAAAGTTAAAGTTTGTGGGAACATATGTGCAAAGTTTTTATAATATATGTATGGAAAAAGTTCATATAAAGTTGACGCTTTAAAATGCAGAACTAAGGTGCACCTCTTAAATCTTTCGAAAAAAGTTATTTTGATGTTGAAAAACATATGCTTGATCATATTGACATCGAGATATATAGTTATAGAGAAAAAAAGTTAATGTGTTTATAGACCAGCTTATAAAAACAATATATCTTATAATACATAATCTGGACTGTCTATTTTTAAGATTTTCATGCGTTTATATATTAGCTTGATTTTAACTATTTTAAAATTTTAAATTTTATAATTATAAATTAAATTAAATTCTCGCATCATCCTAAGGGCTTTGGAGACCAAAAACGCATCTCTTTAACAAAGTTTTGGGGTCCACCTTGATTTGATTGTTTAAAATGGCAACCTTATACAACCTACACACCCGTATGTATTCATGTATTACATTTGTAAGCTTCATCTTATGCCCCAACAATAGTCAATAAAATAATGAACACATTTAAAAGAAGTTTCTCAAATAAACCCCAAAATTTGTCCTCACATCTCCTGTGAAACCAATAACTTTAGATCTTCATGTTCGAAGTTGCGTTTTAGGATAAAAGTTTTTCATTTGTTGCATTTGTTGGGCTCAATTATTTATTAAGTTAAATTTCAGACCTTTAAGATTTAAAGTTTGTTATGAGAATAACTTCAAGCCTTTAAAGTCCAAGTTATGCATATGAGAAAGAACCTTTTCAACAAGGCACGACATAGGTTAAAATGTGGATATTGAAGGTCTGAAGTAAAGGCCAATTTGGAAAAATAAGAAAAATGAAAATGGAGTGTGAATGCAAAAACAAACTCGGCGGGGGGCATGAATTTTTAAATAACAGATATTTGGGGGTGTATTTACATAAATTTATCTTTAAATAAGGGGCATGGATTTTTAAATAACAGATATTTGGGGTTGTATTTACATAAATTTCTCTTTAAATAACAATTGTTTTAAGTATATAACATCTTGTAATAGGGATGGCTTCCAGTCATTGTAAAAGGCGGAACACCATTTTTCCAATCCTTATTATGGCTCCAACAACTAGATTGAAATTAATAATTTGCCCTCTAAAATTCTACAAAAATGCTGTTCTTCACTTCTTCCTCTATTAGATTAAGGAGTAAAGAGCCATTTCCATCATGTCTCAACTTGTGTGGCTCAAGCCAAATGATGAACTTGCCTTTTCTTGTTTTAGGTTCTAAACTCAAAGCGTTTGTTTTTCACTAACTTCTATTGTTTCAGGTTTGGAAATAAACTCAAAGCGTTTGTTTTTCACTAACTTCTATTGTTTCAGGTTTGGAAATAAACTCAAAGCGTTTGTTTTTTACTAACTTCTATTGTTTCAGGTTTGGAAATAAAGGACAGATGGGGGGATTATAAGCAAATATACTAAAATGCCCATTTAAGATTTTATTAATAAAATATTTGAAAAGGTACTCCAATCAAATCATCTCATTGCACTAGCCACTTTGCCAATGGGTTGACTTGACCTACTTTTGGGGTGATTTGACCATTTTGATGATCCTTTCTAAAAACAAACCCAAAGGAAGTTAAAAGGTCACATAACACTTTAGAGGTCTTTAGATTATTTGGTCACTTCAAAGAAGGTAATGGTAAATTTCAGTCGTTCCAATTTGCATGAGTGACTATGGGTGTATTAATGATCATTTTTTAATGCAATAAATACAAGCGTAGCCGATGTTTTTGACCACAAAAACATAGATTATATAACATTTAAAGTTTATATAAGGTTGCAACCTTAAAATGTAAAATCACATATGCACCACCTTAAACATCAATCGGAAATGTCGTTTTATTGTTGAATAAACCCTCTAATCGATCATCTCGACATTGAGATGTATGAATATGAAAAAAAAAAGGTTTTTGAGTCTCGAAAATAATGCATCTTGCAACATATTATCTAAACCGTCTATTTTTAATATTTTATATATTTATAGATCTACTTGATTTTAACCATTTTTTGAATTTAAAATTTTATAATTAGGTATGAAAATAGATTTTAAGATAATATTAAGAATTTTTTATAACAAAATTACATGTTATGATAAAATTTTAAGGTGCGTTTTAATTGAATTGTTTAAGGTTGCATCCTTATAAAAACCACGCGGTTTTAAAAATTGAAACATTTATAAAAAAATAATATAACGAGACGATTTACTTTTAATACCAAATAGTCACAATTAATCTTGACTACCTAATGTGAAATTGGATAGCTTCATTTATTCAATTGACCAAGCTCAAACTCTAAAAGAATTTTTTTCGAACTTTATCGCACACCAAAACTATCAGATTTCACTTCGAATGGTTATAATTAAATGTGATCTCCACATTTCAAAGGTAAATAGTCTCATTGTATACAATACTTTCTTTTTAACTAAGATTTGTAATAAGTATGACCAGCCTTGGCCCAAGGGTCTATACAAAAACTGCCCAACCCCGAGCCCCAACTCAGTTATTTAGCCATATAGCTCATGCCTTAGTTTTTAGGGTGGGGTGATACGTTGGGTTGTCCTATATTACATGTTAATAATCCTAAATTTTTCTCTCACTTCGTCTTATATTTAGATAAAAGAGTTAGATTGTATTAGATAAATTATATTAGGTTCGCAGTTAATATAAAACTTTATAAACGTCGCATATTTTACATAATATTTATAAATATCGAGAAGGGAGATTAATCCTTTTGGATACGTAGCATTAAGTAGGGCAGATTTTGTCCTACAAAAATATTTGGTGGGATCATATGTGTTTCATTTGGTCATCAAAGCAGGAGCCATGGCTCTTTTATGAAAAGCTCAAGCAAAACTCAGAAAAAATCAGGGATTTTACTCTCTCAAAGAAAGAGAGATTTCTACTTTCTCTCTCTTCGTAAAAGGGGAGATTTTACACTCTCTCTTTACTCTTTGAAATCAGAGGATTTTTCTCTAAATTTTGAGGGGATTTCTGTCTCTCTCTACTGAGAAATCTCCATTTCTTCCTTATTTTTGCACATTAGAAAAGCCTTATCTCCATTAATTTTTTTTTTTGGAAACCCATTTTTCTCTCTCTTTTTTTTTCATTTTTTATTCTGGAATAAAGGTTGAATAATGGGGGCATTAGATGCAGCCACAATAGTTCATGAGGTTTTGGGGAAAAGGGCTCATGATGTTGATAAACCCATCATCGATTACTTCATCGATGTTCTCGCTGATGAAGATTTTGATTTCGGTTTGGAAGGAGAGGGTGTTTTCAATGCGATCGGTGAGCTCCTGATCGATTCTGGATGCGTTGATGATGAATCAGAGGGGCGAACGGTATGTTAATACATTTGAACTCTCTGTTTCTGTATCTGCATTGTTTTTGTTTGGTTTCTCTCTGTACATGATTTATTCTATAAGTGGCAAAGGCTTTTCTCTCTCTTTTGTTTTTTTTTCCCTCTAGGCCATCTCCACATTATTTAATCTCTATCTAACTATGAACATTGCCATGTGCCTTTATCTCTTACTCTCAATCCATTAGTATGTGTTTTTTGAAGCTTTGCAAATCTCTCTCTCTCTCTCTATGTTTCTCTCTCTCTCCAACTAAATAATCTCTAAGACATTCTTTTATGAACCCAAGAGGCACCTGCTATATGGGAACCTTAACCATTCTATCTCTGTTTCTTTCTCCTTCACTCTATATTTTATTAGATAAGCTGCAATTCTCAATGTACTCATTTCAGGAAAAAAGAAAAGAAAAATAAATTCTCAATGTATTGATATCAGTGTTAGAAAATTTGGCTAGTCGACTTGCCTGAGTTGCTTGGTGGCTGCAGGGTGCGAGTCTGGAGCCAAACACATGGGAACTGGCCAGTCTGTCCAGTTTCCAGTGCTTCCTTATTATTTGCTGTTCAAACTCGATTGAGTCCATGATGGCCTAGTCTGAATTGAGCTTTCCCGACTGGAGTTCTAGTCTTTAACACTGATTCATATGTTTGAGACTTATTACTTCTTGTTATGTTTGATCTCATGTTTTCGGTTAGTACAACTTTATAGTTACTTATTTTTATGGCATTATACTTGATGGAAATCCTCTATACATATTAATATAATCCAGTGATGTTTAATGGTTTTCGGAATTTAGAGTGGATTCATGATCACTTCTAGTTCGAGTGACTACCTTTTCAACACTGGCAACCTGGTAGAATTCCTAAAAGGCACGTAATGATATTTATCAGCTTTGATATGATTTTGCGGATACGTAGAGCCAGCTGTGCATTATATTGATTGGTGCAGTTTGTGGTTTAGAATTCTATATGGCTTCAAATTCAGGTTTTGTTGTTTTGTCAGCTTATGTGATATTAAGAACTAGTGAATTTGCAGGCTATATACGTAGTTGTAAGGTTATTTATTGTTGATTAATTGATTTAACTATCTATGTAGTGATATGTCGAAATGATAATGATGCAGTAATCTTTATAAAAAAAATACAATAATATAGAATGATGTGATAGTCCATTTTCCATCATTTATGTTTACATTTATAATGTAAATATCTAATTAATTATATGTGTTTTATGAAGCGTGGAAGAATTGTCTGTTTTTATAGCTAACTGAGGTTGACAAGAGTTTTGGGCGACTCCTGGGAGGAATCTGGTGACTTGCCTGATGATTTCCATTTTACTCAGTATATTGTATGTTATATTACTGGTAACATGTTGAATAGAATATGCATGTCTTATAAGATTAATAGATTATCAATATTACCACTAATATGTTGATTATAATGGGTGTTTACTAAGATGATCTCCAATCAATCGTGCTAATTAATGATTACTCTTGTTAATATTATTCATCACATGTCAATGACAATATATACAATACACTTATACATACCTTATGTTGAATAGAATGGGCGTGTGTAGTTAGACTACCTTAGCTAATGAGACAACTCATTTTGGAAATGTAGGTTTGCAGCAAACTCTGCCATAAGTTTGGAAAGCATGGGCTTGCAACAACCAAAGAAGCTGTTCGTAGTCTTGCTACACCTCTGAGAATGTACGATGGGTTGAATGAAGATGAAGCTCCGAAGAAGCAAAATGAGGTGCCTGATGGTCCTGTCTTAACAGAGAGAGACAAAGCAAAGCTTGAAAGAAGAAAGAGGAAAGAGGAACGCCAAAGGGAGGTGAGAAATCAGTGTTAATTTTTTAGCTAGTATTGCTTCTTAGCTTTCGTAATGATGCTGCACCTATTTCTTGGATTTTTTGAATTCTTAGATTTTTTTGTCTTATCTAATGTGATTTTTCACAAATAATTTTATTGAACTGTTGGCTGCTGTATTTTGTTTATCTTTGTGAGGAAAATCCTTTTCGCGAATGTTGCTTCTTATCTTACCTCATGCTGCTTCCCAAATTCTTGAATTGAAGGTTTGGATTTTTCATATTGTTTCATCTTATTGATAAACCTATGCTGCATATTGTATATTTGCCAAAACAGGCACAATTTCAGTTGCATTTGGCAGAGATGGAAGCAGCTAAAGCAGGGATGCCCGTTGTATGCGTTACCCATGGAACTGGTGAAGGTGGGCCGACCACAAAGGATATTCACATGGAGAACTTCAATATCTCTGTTGGTGGCCGTGATCTTATAAAGGAGGGTTCACTGACTTTATCTTTTGGGAGGCACTATGGTGAGTTTGCTTATCATGCTATATCTGGGATGCTATGAATGGTTACATATGTATTTGAGCAGTTTTGTTTGGAATTATCTATTTCACCATGTCCTTACATAAGCATTAATAAATATGTGGTTATTTGATGCTTTCTTATCTAGTAAGTAGATTAAGTCTTCATGCACTAAGTAGATTACTTTTTCAAACATGTAACATGGAGTCAAGATGCTTACCCCCTAGATCACGGAGAAAAGTCTAATTTGGTCCTAAATACCTATTCCGCTGTTGAAAAAGAAAAGTGATTTAAAGATACTTTGAAATTGTGGTGTAAATTACATACACACATGAAGACACTAACACATGTAAGTGTTTAGTGAATATGGACAAAATATTTGATCAAACAAAGTGTAAATGCATTAAGGAAATCCCAGATAGTTGAATGCATCACGAAATTAATTTCGCAATTAGAAAAGTAGAAATAACATATTTGTCAAACTGATCACTGGAACATGTATTATACAATTGAGCTCCAGATTGTCCATAATTTTGGATGGTTTTTTATTAATTAATTGTTTGATGGACTTTTTTTTTTTAAATGATATTTAATTTGGTCTTTTGCGAATATTGATTGTGTCTCTATTTGTCTTTGTTTATCAGGGTTGGTGGGCAGAAATGGTACAGGGAAAACAACTTTCCTTAGGCATATGGCTATGCATGCGATTGATGGCATACCTAAAAACTGCCAAATATTACACGTGGAACAAGAGGTAGCGGGCGATGACACGTCGGCCCTGCAGTGTGTGCTCAACTCTGATATTGAGAGAGTGCAGCTCTTGGAAGAAGAAGCTCGTCTTCTTTCACAGCAGGTCTTATTGGATTTTTCGAACTTTAAATGTATTATGGAAATGATTTTATAATACATGGGGTTGTCTCATTTCTAATGAAATGATGAATTTTAATGGAGATACAATAGAAACACCTGAATGATACATGACCTGAATGGTGATCTTACTCTTTCTTCATCATATTCCATCAATTAATTCATTGGACAGTGAGCTATGATTTTTTTTGGTATAAACAGGTCACTTCCCCATATACTTATTGTCCTTATTTTATTTTGGTGACATTTATTCGTTACCATTCTAGACCTGCCATTGTGGTTACTGTACTATCTTTTGAGTGTACTGAACTGTTTCTTCTCCTCTCAAAGAGGGATGCTGAAGCGGAAGCGACAACAAAGGACAATGGAGCAATCCATGGGGAGAATGGCCGAGATGCTGTCTCAGAGAGGCTCCAACAAATTTACAAAAGACTTGAAATGATTGATGCTTACTCTGCCGAATCTCGCGCAGCTTCCATTCTTGCGGTTTGTTCTCAAAGGGATCTGTTTTTTTTTCTTTGTCAATTTAATGCCTAAGCAAATTCTAGATAAGAGTAAAATGCAGCCCTCAATTTAGTTGGATAGTTTTTATTTACTTTTACTTTGGACATGAATTTACATCACTAAGGGAACTTTGTGTAGTAATGTGGATGGGATATGCTGCCACATGTTTATATGCTTTTTCTTTTTCTGTCAAAACTCGGGTTGTTTCCATGAATACTGTTAGTCGTAGCTGTGATATATTTACATCATACGAGCGTAAAGTTATTTTCTGGTTTGTAGAAGTAATTGGTGTGGCAGGGGCTTCCACCAAGAAAGTGTGGTGCCCCCTCATTTGTCCATATTTTGGATGATTAGGACCAAAAAATGTGCAAATACATACTCTTGTCCCCAAGATTAAGATTCTGACAAAGAAAAGAAAAAGGAAAAAAAGAACTCGGAGCCCTAAAAATGATCCATCTTGAAAGCCATCTTATGTGATCTGAACCATGCATTTCAGTGGACCCTAGTTGGGTGAGATTTGCAGGAGCCCTACTCTAACACCACCTTTTAAGTAATTAACATGGTCGTTTCTTAAAAAATTAACCTGGTCATAAATAAAGAAAAGAAGCACAAATATATCCTCCCAGCGGGCTGGTTACATAAAGGGTCTGGCTCCTCAATGACCCCTCACAAAGGCTATGCTCGGGGGCATGGAAGAGGCTTAGTTCAAAATGGCAATATTAGTACAGACAAATTAGTTTACATTCCCAAAAAAAAAACACAAAACAAAAGTATAGACAAATTAGTTTCAGAACAAAAAAAGGATATTGAATTAGGTTTTTAAAAGAACCTGTGGGTTGGCCACAAGACATGGGAGTCTGCCTTCCCAAGATTATACCAACTGGCCACAGATTCGGGGCACACAGTAGCAGAAGTAGTGACAAACAAGTTTGGACTCCTGTGTTCAGACATAATGAGCAGAGCATTGAGACAAATGGATTTGCTAAAGCTACTGAAGTCCTGTTTCAATTTAAATCATGGTTGACTGATTGATATGGTGTCCAGTGTTTTAGAAGTCGGCCTCTTAGTGTCTAGGTGGTGCCTTGAGGCTGGCCCTATTAAACGTGAATTTTTCAAAAAATCGGAGTTTTTTGAAAACCGTTTTAATCTGCGTGCTATTCAAAAGAGCGTAAAAAAAGTGCATTTTTTTTCATGAAGAAGTTTAAAACGCAATTTTTTGATATTTACAATAAATCGTTCCAAAAAAACTTTACTATTAATAACATCTGTTTTTTTTTTGTTGGAAAGTTTATTACCTTTTTCCTGTTTATAAAAGTTCATGTTTTATACCTTCAAAAAAAGTTCATTTACCTTTTTCCTGCTTTTATTTCTTTCCTGTTTTCTTTTTCTTTTTAATCCTAAAACGGGTTCATTGCATATGGCTGCTGATTTATTGTAGAAAATCACTGAATGCTCACAGAGATTTGTAGGCTTTATTGTATTGCAGCTTTATATTGTCTTGAACACTAGTTTATTTTTATTTTCTGAATTAAATCTCATTTTGTTTATGATTTATTTACTAGGTATTAATCCTTGTTTATAATGCTCTATATAAAGCTCCAATACACATAGAGAGAGAAAGAGAACCACTCATAGAGAGAAATTAGGGGAAAATAGATTAGGAAATTTATTTACCAGTTATCAATCACTGTTTATAATGCTCGATATCAAGCTCCAAGACAGAGAGAGAGAAAGATAACCACTGATAGAGAACCATTTTACAGAAATTAGGAGAAAATACAATAGGGAAAAACATAGAGATAATTATTAAAAATCCCCAAATTTAACATCTTAAAAAAAATTAGGGAATAATAGATTAGGGAAAAAAGAGAACCATATGATAGAGAACTTTCAAAGCACATATTCAACATTAACTATAAAAAATCCCCAAATTTAACATGGTTAAAAAATCCCCAAATTTAACATAGCTCAAAGAATATTACATTGAGGCAAAATAAATTAGGGAAAAAATTAGGGCTTTTCCCTAAATCTGATTCAACAATCCGTCAGCTTCAAAAAGACAGCACCATCTGAGTTCCATGCAGCGCACCCATCTGTTGTTCTTTACAAACAGGTTCACCATCTGCTTCCAAAGGCAATACCATCTGAAAAACCTCTGCATGTGCCTGCTCTTCAGTGCTCATCTCTGAGAGATCCGTGGCCCCCCTTCCCCCCTTCTCTCTTTCTCTGCATTCATTTCTCTCTCTCTATTTATTTCTCTACAACCACTTCTCTCTTCTCTCTCCCCGCTCCATTTTTTTTATTAAAAACTATAGCATTTTGGGCAAGTATAGAAAATGATACTTTGCTTTTTGCGTAAGTACAATATGTGTCATGAGTAAATGGGTAAGTACCTCAAAGAAACATGCACAACCTTTGGATTTGGAATTCATCAACATGAGCAAATAGTTAGTATGGTGCACACGCACAAGCTTTAAATTACATGACTAAATGGTTAGTATGGCACAAGCTTTGAATTTGGAATTCAAATTAACATGACTACATAGTAAGTATGGGGCATAGTTATGATAGTCAGTATGGTGCATAGTTTAGCCTAGTTAACCTATCCGTTTTTTTCACTTTGATTTTTTGAGCCTAGTCCGATATATTTGCGATACCTTTACATAAAGTATTTTTGCCGATCCATATTTTTTATCTGATTTTTTCTTCCGACTTTTTAAAATAAAAACAATTTATTTCCGATTTTATAGTGAGCTGATATATTGATACTCCCCGACTTGCTAGCTATGGGCTGGCCATGGCCTTAGGCACCCCTTCTAGGACTAGGCGGGTTCCTAGGGCAGGGGCCCTCTAGGTGACTGCCTATTTGGTCAAGGCGCTGCCTAGGCAGGTGCTTGTCTTCTTCTTCCTTTTCTTTTTCATCTCTCTCTCTTCATCGAACAAATAGATATAGATATTTACACACACACATATATGCATATCACATATATATATATATATATATACACACACACACACATATAGATATATATACATACATGCATACATACACGCATGCGTGCTTGCATGCGTTTATATAGACACAAATGCGCTACCTCCTCCTCCCTCTTTGTTGTCTTTGGTTGAGGCACCCTCCTAGGTTGCCAAGACACTGCCTAGGATAGAAGGCCAGGTGTCCTGGCAGCCTACGCTGTACCTTTTACATTTTGAAACACTGATGGTGCCCAACTCCTAAAGACACCGTCACAGTGCCTCTTTTTATGATAACCTATGGATGTATCTAATGAAGCCTCGACCTTTCATTATCTCCAAAAACAGGGGCATCCTTCTGTCCTTTGGGTGTGATTGTGTCTCTTTCTACATTGCAGCCGTGGTCAAACCCCCAAAAAAGAAAAAAAAAATCCCCCCCATTCCCACTCTTTGACAATCTACTATTGTGTATCTCTATCCAAGCTATCATTTGATTGGAAAGAAACTGTCAAATGTTCCAAGGAGCAACCGCCCAGACAACATCCCTGATCGATCACAACATGTTCATACTCGAGAGTCATCTCTTTGGTGATGACCTGCAAGGAACTTCATCATTTCTTGCCTATCATGATACAAAGTCAGCGGAAACCACTGTGTGGTTCACCACAAAAATTTAAAAATTCTCAAAATAGATGCCACGAGCACGAGGCGAAATCAAATTAAGGGAAATTTATCAAAATACTCATGAGAGATGCACTATTCAACATTTTATACATATAGTTTGATTTTAATTTTAAAATACCCACGAAAAGGCACGGCCATGAGTTGGAATAGGTGTAAATGTGTAAAATGCTAAATAACATTCCTCTCATGGGTATTTTGTTAAATAGCCCTCTAATTAAATTTGGATGGTAGTTCTGAAGGAAACCCAGTTCCCACAGGCACGGAGCATTCTTCCAAAACCACCATGGATTGATCCTCCTTGCATATTTAACCAACTGGCCATAGGGACTCATCACTCACAGAAACTCAAGCCCGCTTATTGGGGATCCAGTTGGCGAGTTGGGGAAATAATTTAATGAATAGAGGGAGACTTGACCAACATCATAGCCTAGGCTACCAAATCGGCTCAGGTCCCATGGAGATTCGAGCAAGTATTTGACAAAATATATAATCTATATGCCGGGATCAACATAACTTTTCGACACACTTGGAGAGGAAACACTGTGGTAGATGCTCTGGCCAATGAAGCAGTCTTACGTACTTCGATCTGCCTCATATAGGAAGGACCTTGTAGAAAAATTTCATGTTCCACAGGCATCCATTCCCTCTCTCAGCTTTCTTTGGTTTGGCCTTTCCTTTTCTGTGCCATCATTTTTTGAATAGAAAACAGAATATAGCCTTTTAATCTTTAGACCTGGAAGAACTAGAGTCTTGGGCATAGGCTCAATTTTGTAAACAGTGCAAAAAATTCCTTGTACATCAATTTTGAAATTAATGAAATTCAGTTACCATTTGAAACACAAGCACACCCACACACAAACATGTCCTGTTTAGATCTCGATTTGGATTGGCTTAAAAGTGGAAGATTTGCTTAAACTCTGAAAGCAATTGTCAAACACATTGTACTTATGTATCTTTTTTTTTTCTTAGAAGTCTCGAAACTTTTCCGGGGATTTGATGTCTTTTGCAGTTAAAAGCTGGTATTACTTTTCTTGGTTGTTAAATGAAAGTAATTTCTCAGGGGCTAAGTTTCACTCCAGAGATGCAACGTAAGCCAACTAGAGCTTTTTCTGGTGGTTGGCGAATGCGAATTGCTCTTGCCCGTGCCCTGTTTATTGAACCTGACTTGCTACTTCTTGATGAGCCTACAGTAAGATGTTGTTGACTTGTGTCTAAGGCTTTTATGCTGTTATTCAAATGTATATTATAATCCAAGAGTACAATAGACAATGGAGATACCATAGTTCACTGGGTCATCACCTTTCATTGGAGTAATGTGCAGGGTTGGAGAGATTATGGGACCACTAAATCTTTCCATCACCATCCATCATTCCAATAACTGTCTATTTTCCATATTTTATTGGGTTATTGTGCACTGTCCAAGCTCTTATTTCCTATAATAGTTCTTCTAAGATGTTAGTGAACTTTTCTTGATATTGCAGAACCATCTCGATCTACATGCCGTTCTATGGCTGGAGTCATATCTTCTGAAGTGGCCAAAAACATTCATAGTTGTGTCTCATGCTAGGGAGTTCCTGAATACGGTATATTGCATGTTTATTGACATATTCTAATCTTATTAGCAAGTACTGTCCAATTTATTGATGATGGCAATGGAGAGCGCGGGATAATACCTAAAGGACCATATCCTGTTCTGGTGGGTCCCACACTCCATCCCCATCCATCAGTTCAGTTGATGGCTAGTACCCCAATTACTTTTTGTATACTAGAGTCTGTTAGATTATCGTGTGCTTTAGCTTTCTTATTGCATGTTTATTTGTTTATTTTAAACTGAACCCATGGAATTTTTTGTTTCAGGTAGTCACAGATATTCTGCATTTGCATATGCAAAAATTGACTGCTTACAAAGGAGATTATGATACATTTGAGCGGACGAGGGAGGAACAGCTTAAGAATCAACAAAAGGCCTTCGAGTCGAATGAACGGAACAAGGCTCATATGCAGGTTCTGTTTTTCATTCTTTCTAGTTTGGAGGGAGGGAGGGAAGTAGGTATCGCCTGATAGAGAGAGAGAGAGAGAGAGAGAGAAAGAGAGGGGGGGGGGGAACATGTGCTTATAAATAGCTGTTTTCCTCACATACACACACGCACAGTGGTGAGAATAAAAGTTATTGGGGAAGATGTGCTGATTGTACTGGTTGGGAGTTAGTTGTAACAAAAGATAATGTTGTACACGCTTAACAAAAGGAATCTTTCAACTAGTTTTTCACGGATCTTTTGAGGCTGGTGTTGTTTCGGTAGTAATGTTTAAAGTGTTGGCATTATAGTTTTCGTGCGTTTAAAGGTTAATTTCTGAGATAAGTTTCATCTGTTCACTTGAACATGCTATCCTTGTTAAAGATTTGGATGGATGATATGTACTTTTTGTCTCACTTTGCAGGCTTTTATAGATAAGTTCCGCTATAATGCAAAACGAGCATCTCTTGTCCAATCGAGAATTAAGGTATGAATTGCTGCGCTTGTGCAAAGCGCGATTCTTGCTATAGTTAAAATTTGTGACTCAAATTAGTCAACTCTGAAAGACTACTCTCTTGAATCTTTAGGCACTGGACAGGATGGGTCATGTGGATGCTATTGTCAACGATCCAGGGTATTCTTCTTTCATGATATCCATATCTACTATCACTTTATGTTGTCGTGATCTGTCTCTTGCTTGAAATTTTTTTCTATTATTTAGGGATTCATTTTTGCTTTTATGTGCTTAAGAACGAATTTCATTATCTTATATGCAGTTACAAGTTTGAGTTTCCAACTCCAGATGATCGGCCAAGTGCACCAATAGTAAGCTTCAGGTTTGTTCCGACTGCTAACAATCTGTTTTTTTTCATTGGTCAATGGCTCAATATCCATGTGATGCTTTGGCATTTCTTCTCTTTTAAGTTATGGTTGGATGACCTCCTGATAGTGTTTATCTTCCTCACTGGGAAAAGTCATGATGTAAACAATATGCTGGTTTATTGTCACCCATTTGTTATTAGTTAAGAAAATTCTATTAACAATTAATCATTTCCCTTTTTTTGGTTGATTCTATCAAACATTGTTTTTATTATATTTCATTTACAGATTTGGAATCTCCCCAATCATTGACCACCCAAAGCCCTCCGTAAGTCATTTTAGGCATGATACAGTGTGCAAATCTTTTTCAAGATCATGTTTGTCCTTGGGTCTCATTGTATACAAATAGCCACTACAGTACCTATTGTCAAAAGTGTCATCTGAAGGTTACCTGCAAACCTTTTCATAGCCAATTTCATGTTTCAGTACATTTGTCAAGTTGTAAGTATTTTTGTTATTAAATGGGCCGATCATTGCTACCAAGATGATAGTCCTCTTGCATTCATGTTCTGCAATATTGTTCGATAGTGTTGCTACTTTTGCAATTTCGTTTTTTTCCCTGTTGAAGCAAATGTTTGCTAATGATTGCAATTGAATAAACATGCTTCTTTTGAATCACGTATTTGGAGTTCTTTTTTATTTTCTCTATAAACTATAATATATGTGAGCGTAGTGTCATTCTCTAGAGTAGGCGAGGAAGCTCCCTTAATACGTAATGTAACAGATTAGCCATGGAGAGTATCAATGGTTTTTAACGTGCGTCTTTTCATTGCAGTGATGCGTCATTTGGCTATCCTGGGGGCCCTCTCTTGTTTAAGAATTTGAATTTCGGTATAGATCTTGACAGCCGAATAGCAAGTAAGGATTAACCGAGTACCAACTGTGTTAATTCCGTTGTTTTTGTCAGTTGATGTTATATAGAAACTCTGAGGAGCTTAGCTGGCTAGGGACTTCACTTGGAAGGCAGAAATGGCAGCTGACTTTTTTTTTTCGTATTTATGTGCATCCTTTCCAAAATGTGATATATGTTTAGACAACTCTCTCTCTCTCTCCATATATGTGTGTGTTTGTACATGCTGAAGGTTTTTCTTTTTTGCATCCTATAATTTTCTTTTGTGAAATTGCTTTGCAGTGGTTGGACCGAATGGTATTGGCAAATCAACCATACTGAAATTAATATCAGGGGAACTTCAACCAAGCTCTGGCACTGTATTCCGTTCAGCCAAGGTACAGTCTTGAGCTTTTTATTCTTCTTATTTGTCAAAGCTTGTCATTTATTATGGTGCCTTCATAGGATGCTCCTGTGAACGTCAGTCCAATTCCTTCTAAAAATTGTTAGCATAGAATCAGCATCATTACATGCTGTGCCCTGCCCTCACATTGAGCATACAAAGGCGAAACACACACACACGAGATAATGGCAAATCCACCTTGGAGTATAATAATATATAATAATATTGTTATAAAAAAGGAATTCTTTTATGTTTACATAAAAAAAACCTTGCAGCGTCATAAAATGAGAAGTAACCAAATTACCCATAGTTTACTATACCTCCTTTCTGAGTTCATTCAAAGGGACAGAAAAGAATGAAAAAACACCCTCTACTTATGATGGAGTTAACAAAATTATAGGCATGTTACATGGAGCACAACCATTTCCTTCAATGGACCAGAATGAGACTTATCTTTAAATTTCTTAATGGCATAAATAGAAATGACTCTATGTTTTCAGAATTAGCCTTTTTCATGGATTCATTATGACATTAGCAATAACTCTTTTCAGATTTGTTTTTACATTTAACAGGAACTCCTGGAACCTTCGGCTTATACCTAGTTAACGAGGTCTATATGTTTGAGACAAGTGGGAGTTAGTCTGATGTGGTTTACTTTCTTGTAGGTTCGAATGGCCGTGTTCAGCCAACACCATGTTGATGGGCTTGACTTATCTTCAAATCCCTTGTTATATATGATGCGTTGCTACCCGGTGAGTCTGTGGGTTTGTGATTTGCATCATTTTTCTTCCTTCAATTTTCTGAAAGGGACATCTACTGTCACCCTATGAATCTGGGAAAAACCATAGTCCATTCAGGTCGTCACCTTCCAATGCAATGGACAGTGATTGAGAGAGAAGACAGAGTGTGATCTATTGTTGGGGCCATGTCCTGTTCTAGTGAGGCCCCTTTCTTCAACACCACTCATCATTTCATTGGACAGTGATGATCTCGATGCATTATGTTTTTCCACAGTTCATGGGATTATGGTATACTTTCTCTTTCTGAAATGCTTTTTTCAAAATACATGCCAGTTTCTCTTGCATCTGAGGTTTTGAAATTATCAGTATACTAACAAATGCTGTGTTGAGTAATACATTTGGCTTTGTTTTTCCTTCTGTTTAATACCATTTTCTCTGTGCTTCTTTTCTAACACAATCTAAAACTTTTAGGTTTCTGTTGTAATTGCTCTTTTAGTCAATTTTCTCAAATTGTAATGAGATCAACCAAAGTTCTTGAGAAACTATGCCAGCAAGAAATTCTCGAAAACCAGATTGTGTTATTACTGTCTGTCACAATGTGCAATCCCTTTTGACAGATCATATTACTTTTTATTTTTATAGCTTAATTTATACCTCCTCTATATTAATTATGCTTAGATGGATGCTGTATATAACCAAGATTCACGACTTCTCATTGTGGTTTGCCTCCATTACTCACCATCACCAGTAATTACCAGTTACAAAACTGGGTTTTTTCCGGACATATCTCAAAAAGTATTGCGCTCTAACATCCTGTGTGACTATCATCTATTTAATTATTATGCTCTGTTCATATTTTAATACTTGAAGTTAAGAAAAGAATGAGTGATTGTTATGCCTGAGAAATTATGTCCAATAATATTGCAGATACATGTTACATGTAGTTTGTCCTTTCTTCTGTTATTTTATATGCTATTTTCTCGTGTGAATATTCAAAGAGTGTTTAGTTAGTTAATTTGAATATGCCTTGGGAAATATGATGTTACCGGCTTTTGTTCGCCGGGAACTTGAGACCCAGGACTGATGCTGACTCTTGGAACGTTCAGGGAGTACCCGAGCAAAAGCTCAGGGCTCACTTGGGGTCATTTGGGGTCACTGGCAATCTTGCACTTCAACCTATGTACACATTGTCAGGTAACCTGTCACCTTAAAAATTCATTTAATATTATCCCTTCATATTTTCATTTACATTCAATTTTGTCATGGAATTGATTGCAATGAGTCCTAATAGTTCTATAAATAACGGGAAAATGTCTTTATTTTTTATTTTGAATGATACAGGGGGTCAAAAGAGCAGGGTTGCATTCTCAAAGATAACCTTTAAGAAACCACACATCATTTTACTTGATGAGCCATCAAATCACCTGGTAAGTTTATCGAAAATATCATTTTAGATAGCTAGCTTTTTGAGATCTTTTGCAGCTATCTTTACTATTTTCTCGATTAATCATATTATCATGCTTGGTTGTGGTATTAAGTTAGTTGACTATTATTGAAAAAAAAAAAAAAAATGAAGTTGCCTCTGCTCAACAAATTTGAATTTTGGGCTGTTGGATTACTTCCTCAATATTCTATTGAAGTCTGCATGTCATATAAATATAAGGACATTATTAGTCGACGTTGATGATATTAATGTTAGTATAGGTGGTAGAAAACAAATTTACCAAAGTTGCAAAGACATCATTATCATCATTGTCAAAGCCTTTTCCCAACTAATTGGGATCGGCTACACGAATCCTAGTCCGCCATTCTACTCTATTAAGGCTGTATCCTCAATGAGGCTGTAAGTTCCCATATCTTTTCAACCTACTTCCAACTATGTCCTTTTGGGCCTACTCCTTGCCCTTTTTGAGCCTGCCACTTGAACTAACTTGCACCTCCTGACAGGTGTTGTATTAGGTTTGTGCCACATGGCCCAACCCACCTAAGTCTTCTCTCTTATCTTATCTCCTATTGATGCTACATTTAAATTTTCTCTAATGTATTTTCCCTAAAGTAGCAAAAATCCCGGAGCATGGGATATTACATAATTTTATAATAAAAGAAAACAACATTAACATGTCTTTGAATTTTTAGGATTTGGATGCTGTTGAAGCACTCATACAAGGTCTTGTTCTTTTCGAAGGAGGTGTACTTATGGTATGATGAATCTCTCTCTCTCTATATATATCTCTCTCTCTCAAAAACAAGATCTGGATGATGCTGTGCCTTTTCTGTTTTTGTGCTCTCAGGTTAGCCATGATGAGCATCTGATATCTGGATCCGTGGGTGAGCTGTGGGTTGTGTCTGAGGGCAGGATCGCTCCTTTTCCTGGGACATTTCATGATTACAAGAAGATTGTGAAATCTTCTTAAGTCTTCCATAATGCAAGGGTTTCCAGATTTATTTTCAGGTATATGGGCATTTGATCATTTGCCAGATTTTCATTTTCTTCCGGTAGTGGGTCTGTGTGTGTGTTTTTATACCTTTGGTGAGTTGGGTTCATCCCTCATGCTTGATGTGATATGTAGAGCTACAATTTTACCATTTTTACATCCATGATTACTGCTTATATGCGATCTTTGAGTTCGTATCTAAATGTGAAACTATCCATCCCTTCAATCAGGGGATTTATCAATGGAAAATTGAGGCATAATTCAATCCAGCTCTGATAAATTGGTTAGTCTATTGTATGTTTATTTTTTTTTTCCATCTTTTTTTTTTTTCGGACTGATTGTACATTTTGCCTCCTCAAATTGGAAAATGGAGAAGTAGGTGCATTTAAATGAGGTATTTATTTGGGGTATGATCTTCCTCTCTCTAAAGCTTTGTTTGGGGTTTTGAATTGCCCAGCAACTGTACTGATCTGGATGGGCTAAACTGGTGAGAACTTTGTTAAAATAAGGACATCAGCAGATCTCCCACCCACAGAATCTGATAGGGATTGGGAATGCAATTCTCTATCAAGATTGATGGGTTCTAAATGCTCTAAATCATGTAGCCACTTAATTAAGTGGCCAAGAATTTCCTTAAGCTAAATTTATGGATTTAGCAATGTGTAATTTGGGGCTTTAAAGTGGGACTTAAGTGAAGAATGTTGAAAATGGATTAGCAGTGTGTAATTTGGGGCTTTAATGTGAGATTTAAGTGAAGAATGTTGAGAATGGATGTGGAGATGGTCTTAAGAGTATTTCGTTTTAGGGATTGCATACAATGAAACCATTTACTTTTAGTACGAGGTCACAATTATTCTTAGCTATTGGATGTGATATTTAATGGATTGAAGTTTGTCACGACATTCATTTGGATGTGTGCCTAGTCAATGATGCATTCTTAACCACTCGATTTTACGATCGATAGTAGCTATGGACCTTGTGCCAAAAAGTAAATGGGTTCATTGTGTACATTTCCTGAATGGGAGAGGTGATAATATAGAAAGAAAGATTCTAGGACAAAGGTATGCTTGAATCTTGTACTCTCTTCTCATGGCATTTTAGTTCAATTTTATTTCCTTTTCTCACATTCTTTTGGAATTGAAATGGGAAAATGCCGTGAGTTCCCCAGACATTTCATTTCAGTTGCTATTTCACTGTACCAAATTTTGAAGGGAAATTAGTGTTTGGGTAACTTGTGGAACATTCTTTCTCTGGTTTTTTGAAGAAAACTTTACACAAAAAATTACCAATACACAAACTTTGAAGAAAATTACAAAAAAGCTTTACCTATATACCAATTTCTAGAGGGGAATTAACAAAAAAATCCGTTTTTATTTTCGAAATGTGAAAACAATCCAATATATTTTAGAGGAATTTTCAGAAATGGCTCTTTTTTTTTTGATAAGCATAAAAAGTACTCAAATTCTTTAAAAAATGTGTCCAAACCTATTGTATAACTTTCCATAAATATTTTTTTTTACTGAAAATGCTTTTTACCGTTCTATTAGAACTGTGATAGTGCGTTAAATAATAATAGTACTATCAATACTGTGATGTTCCAAAGAACTTTGAATTATCATTGCATTAATAGTATGGTTAAGGTTGGTGGGACATAATGGTTCTAATAGAACCGTGAATGGGTTTTCCGTAAATTTTTTTTATAAAAAGTTAAAAGAATAGGTGAGAAGTAGTTTTTAAAGAAGGGAAAAGTTTTAATAAGGTTGCAACCTAAATGTAGAATCACATATGCACTCAAAAATCCATTGGAAATATTGTTTTAATGTTGAAAAAACCCTCTAATTGATCATCTCGACATCGAGATGTATGAATATGACAAAAAAAGTTTTTGAATATCGGAAATGGTGCTTCTTGCAAAACATTATCTTCACCATCTATTTTCAAGATTTTCATATATTTATAGGTCTATTTTATTTTAATCATTTTTTGATTTTAAATTTTTTTAATTAGATATAAAAATAGATTTTAAAATAATACTAAGATTTTTTTACCATAAAATTACATGTTATGATAAATTTTTAAGGTTTGCTTGGATTGTTTAAGATTGCAACCTTATAGAAATCGCACACTTTAAAGAATTGGGATATTTTTTAAAAGGATTGTATACAGCAAGTCTATTTATGTTTTGTGAAGGGCGATCACAATCACTTTTTGCCATTGAGTGTGAAATCTAATAAATGAAAGGGTGATATTTGAAAAACATTACTTTGGACTTTGTCCACAAACAATGATACATCCTTACTCACTAATTTCAATCTAATGGTTAATGATGATTGTGATTTTGTTGTAT